GCACCGCGCGCCCGCACAGCCCGGCACCGCAGGGGCTGCAGGAGGGAGCGGAGGGAGAGATGGGAAGGGCAGAAACGCCGAGGACCTGCAGGATGGATCGGGCCGCGGGGACACCTCCGAGGCTCCCGCACTGAGACCAAGTGCCTCGGCCGACCCAGCCAGCCGTCGCGCCAGAGCCGCAGGAGCTGTGCTGCTCCTCTGCGGACACTGAGCCGCGGCCAGCGCGACCTCCCCACTCGTCACAGCACCAGAACAGCAAGGCCTAACGGGGGCTGAATCTGGAATATCCGAGTCCCGACGCAGCACGTCGAGGGAAAGGGGGCTCTCCTCTCCGTCAGCGAGCAAATAAAACGCCCTGCCCGCGGGCAGCGTGTTGCCTGTTCCCAGGACAAAGTGCCGGCTCTCAAGCGTGGCAGGCACATGCCCCCGCCAGCGGACCCGCCGAGCTGCCGACGTGCCGGAGCAGCGCTGGGTGGGCACACACAGGTCCCACGGGGACGCTGCTCGTACAGGGACCTCCCGCAGCAGCACAGGTACGTTGTCTCCCCACCCCACGTAACTTTCCTCCTTTCTACAGCTCACTCCTACCTTCTTGCTGCTGCTGTCCCAGGACTCCAGCAGATGGTTCAGAAGCAAACTACGGGGGGGGAAAGAGAACACAGGGCTCGGTCAGGAGCTCTGAGAAGCAATTTAAACACACTCCTAAATGCTAGCAGGGTGGTGCCGGCCCTGCTCAGAGCAGCGGGCAGGCAGCAGGCACGAACTGACCTGGACTGAGAGAGGTGCTTGGTGTACAGCTGCCTCCAGACGCTGAAGCTTAGGGGGTCCAGGCTCAGGCACTGGCTCATGGAGGTCAGGAGCTGGGAAGAGCGCGCAGCCGGTCGTTACACCTGATCCTCACCCCCAGTGCGACACACGTCACTTGGTCTGGCGCATCGGACACGCCGTGCCCCAGGCTGTACGCTGGGGGCACAGCTGACCACCTCCCCAAACCTGCCGGCTCACTGCTCTCATCCCAGCCAGCTGCTGGGGCACCGAACAACTCGCAGGTCCGGCGTTCCCAGACCCCGGGTGCGGGCAGCAGGAACCCCGGCCCGCGATCGCCGTCCTTGCCTTGTGACGGCGCATGTCCGGCCTGCCACCGCTCTGCGGACCCTCCCCGGGCAGCTGGGGGACCACCAAACCCAGTCCACCCTCCAGCGCCTCGCAGGCCAGCTGGGCTGGGCACGCTGACCTGACGCTCGCCGCTCCCAGCAAGGTCCCGCTCCCTCCCTTACCGGGAACACGCTCCCACCGCGACCTCGTGCTCGTGCTGGCACCTGCCCGACCCACCTGCCCGTTCAGCCCTCCGACACACGGGAGCTGAGCCCGTGCGAGGGGCGGCCAGCGCCCGGCCGTGCCGGGGAGCCGTGCCCGGGGACCGCACGGCCCCGGGCCCCCCCC